CAACTTTCAAAAACCAGAATTTTGAAACTAGTTTTTTTTAGAGTTGTCATGTAAATAATGGCACACATAAAAGCTTTCCGTTCAAGTTGAAACTCTGTGTTAAAAGGTTCCTTAAAGAGCCCATATTATACATGAAATAAGGTCATATCTTGGTTGTAAGGGTCTCCAACAACAGTCTAATATGCATGCAAGGTCAAAAAACACTTTCATGGTCTTATAATCTGCATTTATTTTTATCTAATTATCCCAGCGACTCCTGTATGAATCGTCCAGTGATTCATTTGTTCCCAAACCCCTCCTTAGCGCGAAGCTAATCTGCGCTGATTGGGCCGATGACAGTCTGTCGCGATTGGTCGACTGCCTTCAGTCAGAGAGGGAAATGGCCAATAGCTAATCAGCAATTTAAAAAGTAATCACAGTTCATACACGCTCGATAGTGTAGGCGTGGACTTTAGCTGCCACACTATGGCGAGTGGATAGTGCCACGGATAACCGAACGAAGGAGACAGTCGTGTACTCGCCATACCACACACACACAAAAACACACACACACCTCCGGATGACAACGCTCCCGCTTCCGCCCGCACCCGCCAGGTTTTAGCCTGAGAACCCGCTCCGTTTTCTGCCCGCCGCGCCCGGTCCCGCTAGAGCGGAGAACACAACCAAATATCACCCAGTATACAGTCCAGACAGCCAAGCTGTCTGTATAAACACATACACACAGCACAAAGTACACAAAGCTCGTTCGTTCGTTCGCTCTCTCTCTCGCTCTCTCTCTCTCTCTCTCCCCGCGCCAGATTTCTGCGGCGCGGGAATACATTTCCGAATAAATCGCGGGAGCAGAACTCTAGCACGGAGCTCCATGAACAAACAGCACACGTCGCGTTTTTAACGTGACTTTGCACGCGATAAGATAATATATCCAGTTAACCTGATACAGTACACGCGGTTACAAGTAACAAATCACAACTAAATACATTTGCAAGCTAGAGTAAACGAGGCAACAACTTTAACCGCACGTACTTACACTTGAGAAATGTAGGAAGAAACCCATCCTGACGTCCATCAGTTACTCTTTACTGATCCTTCCTTTAACAAACTCAGATGAAGTATTCTTTGTAGCATGTAGCTTCCAGAAGTTTCCAACTGCTTGGTTATAATGCTGATGTTTCATCTTTGGGTAGAGACTCAATATATCCATCTGCAGTGTGACTTCAATCGACCGGCATGTTTGTGTGCGTGTGTTTGTGGGTGTGCGTGTGTTTGTGGGTGTGTGTGTGTGTGTGTCTGGGTTACTGCGTCAGAGGGCGGGGCCTCAGGTTTGAAATCTCCCGGGTTTGCGCGTGCACGTGAAAAACTTTGTTTCGTTCGTACGTCATGGCGAAACACCTAATGAGTCGGTATCAAGGCGACTCGTTTGAAGCACTATGATTCGACTCTTTTATAGATGAATCAACAGTTTTAAACACTGTATTCTTACAGATTTAAGCCTTAGCTGGATACTTCACTTCACTTAGAGCTGTGTTACACACTACATGGAGGGGAATTTTCAAAAACCCATAATATGGGCTCTTTAATTACTCTATAAAATCTATTTTAATTAGGATGAAATTCTACTGCATATGCCAAATATACAATGTATATATGCTTCACAGCACAGACCTGAATTTCTGCCGCAGTTGTTGAGCGAGCTGCTCCATAATGACATGGCAGTCATCTTGGATGCCCCTAAAAGAGGGCATATGACTGTACTGCTGCAATACACAGCGTGCCCTCCGATGGGAGCTCACTGCCTGGGCATAGGCCTGCAGCTCCAGACACTTATTGAGCCTTGCTGGCAGCTCGAACAGGAACTGCAGTTTTCGGAGAAGAGTATGAACACCTACACAAAAGGTGAAAGATTCAGGAGTTGATTTTTGAGACTTGAAGTTGAGACAGAAATGAAATAATGTTCAGTAATAACGATAGTTCTACTACCAATTGAAAGCTGTAAAATGAATCAGAAATGGATAATTTATTATTTATACCTGATAATTTAGTGATCTGTGCATGCTGATCCTGCAGCGTCCCGCTAATGCGAGCACTAAACTCCGTGATAGCTGCCATGTTTGCAGACAGGCAGTCCATTTCATCCTCCATCTTCTTAAAGTCATTCTTCATTTTTCTGATTGTGTCTGTGGAATAATCAATACATTTTAACATGAACTGGAAAAGGCTATGAAACTCGTATGATGCATCAATGTCCAAACAAAAATGACACCATTAAATGAACTATAAGGTAACCATTCTGATAGTAACTGCATCTCAGAGAATTATTTCTTTGAAGGCCACATATAAATGCCCATATAAGTGCACCATCAAAGGCTGTCTAAATTCAAATGCTTCTTTAAATGTAGCCTCCAAATGCTTATATTGTTTCCCAGAGTAAAGATGATATAACTGATAGATCCTTCATGGCCCAGAATATCCTATATGTTCTGGATAACGCTTTTTAATTTAAGTTTTGCATTTAGGTTTGCTATGATTTTTAAGTTAAAAACACAAACTGTGGTTTTATATGAGCAATTCCATGCAAATGTTAACCTTGTCATGAAAAAAAAAAGGTTTTCACCAAAACATGGAAGTTTTTTTGTGTAGGTTTGTATTTTACAGTACTGCAAAAATACTCAAAAATGTCTCTGTCAATGTTTTCAAACTATTATATTTGATTTACCAAAGTCACACAAGTGCCAATTTCACATCAGTCACATTCATAACAAAGAGATGTCACATCCATAACGACACCTTTTCCTCAGAAATGCAAAAATGACAAGTAAAATAAAGTCAATTATTTTTGTTCTAGAGTCATCTTTTAGCCTTTTGATTAGCATTATTTCTTCTGGGTTGTGCAGTTTAATTAACAGAATTTCTACAAAGAATGTTGTATACTGCAAACTCAGTCTTTTTGGTCACATTCATAACACATGTTTATTTTCCTTATTTAAAATACAAAACTTGTTTACAGATTGATATTTTTCAAGTCCCTTAACTCTGTGGTTAGTTGTTCTAGAAAATATAAACGGATGTTTCAATATAATGTTAACATATACTTTCTATCATGTAAATGTATGTTTTTACTGCAAATGTCACATTCATAACGCAGGAATTGCTCATATATAATTACATTCTTATAGCAATTCTGATTTCTTCAGGGACAACTATGACTTTGTAAAATTTCTTAATGTCTGTTTTTTTAAAAGGTCATTTGTTAACCTGTGGCTGAGATGAACTTGTTGTAGTTTTCATAAACCAGGGTTTGCATGTCACTGTCCAGAGATCTGATCTGCTTGACCATGCAGCTCTCGTGGTCCATCAGCTCAGTCAGAGAACACTCCTTCCTCAACTGAAACACAAAAAGCACATTTTTTAAGTCAAACAACGGGACATTTAGCCTATATTAGCCTATATATTACTGGAAGAATATTGCATATGTGGCACATAATGACAGCACTCTCAATTTGGTGACCCTAATAACTAAATAATAAAGCCAGGACATTCGTCACTATAAGCTACTCTACCTTATTTAAATAAATCTCTGGGTCGAAATGCGGTCCGTTGATATCGCAAGGATCCAGAGACTCGGCTTGTTCTGTGGCTTTTCCTTCCTCATTCAGGCCGTAGTAGAGCTTCAGCATACTGTGAACCCGCCGCCGCTGGGCCGGGTCCGAGTCCGGTGGTGTTGTGGCTGAACTCATTTCAACTATTAACTATTGTCTGGTGTCAAAGCGAGAATTATTAAATGAATGAATGACAGATGTCAACAAAACATCTGTTGCAAGAGCTGTGGTTGCTACCTGCCAACTCAGTTTGTTGATGAGGCTAGGGCTTTGAGCCAAAATGGCGCTACTGTAGATAGTATTTCAAAGTAAAAGTCCGGGGGCGCGAACTAGGCTGCATCTTCACCAACTGTATGTATATATATATATATATATATATATATATATATATATATATATATATATATATATATATTTATATTCGGTTTGTATTATTCTAACGTGTGATAAAATATTTATTCTAGTAAGAGTGCTTTTTTACTTAGGTTATTTGATGCTATAAAGAGAGGTGTGGTGTGCTTGTGTTTGGGGGTCTGGGAGTTTAGAATTTGCTGCCACCTACATACCCCATTTAAAGGCCCCATAAAAATAAAAATAAAAGTTTTTTAGATGTTATTATCAGTGTGTTAGTCTTAAGGATATCTATAAGCTAGGGCTCTTTAAAACAGTGACAAAATCAGCATTTAGAAGATCCAAAAACATCCAAAGCTTGCAGTTTGTCTCCTCCGCCTAAACAGATAAACAGTTTTATTCACATCCATTAGTATCTGAATGCAGCCTTCATGATGCAAGTTGAAAGTGCATCGCTCAGAGATGCAATGTCAGACACAATGCACTTAACGGAACTAGTGACCACTGTGAGGGGTAGGGTTGGGTGAGCGCATTAAAAAGCATTGGATGCAGCTCAGATTGCATCTGCACCGAGTCTGCCAGACCCCTTTCTTCATGTCACCACATACTTTAGTTTCTTATCAAATCTTCTGACCAATCAAATGCTCTCTAGTATCTGACAAGCCCCGCCCCCTTCAAGACACTTTTCATTTGATGCACTTGAGCTCAACCACTCTCACAGGCAGAGCTGAAAAAACAAAAAGGGGAGGAGCTACACTAAGTCCCACCCTCTCTTCGTGTTTCAGAAAAGATTACGTCAAACATCCAATAAAAATGCATATTTCAAAGCACTTCACAGGACCTTTAAGATCAATTCTGCGCAGACTTCGGCTCCAAATTAAGCATACTTCATTGCTCAAATCAAAAGATGACAGCAGCCATAGATGGGAAATTTTGGCTTCACTTTGATAATGTTACCAATTGTTTTTTATAAACAATTTATGACAATTAATACAATATTATTGCATAATTAAAACAAATTTTACCAAAAAAGCTAGTATAAGACAACATAGACAATATTTAGTCATTAAATTTATTTTCATCATTTTTCTCCTCAAGATTCAACACATCAAAGACCTTGTTGCAGGTAAAGATTAAATAAAACATCATTACAAAATACATTATACAGAAAATGATTCACTGATAGTTATGCCGGTTAGTACAAAGCAGGAATAAAAAGTTTAATGCTGCATATAAATGGATTCCTTTAATTTTACAGTCACAAAAGTTTGGTAGTGAAATTGGTATAGAAAACATCACAAACAACAAAAGATAGTGGAAATACAACTTCAAAAGACAGATGACAGCAAAACATCATAAACAGATTAAATGTTAAAAAAGGCACTTTAAATTAGTACTGACAACTTTGTATTTCCAAAACACAGACGTGACTATCTACAGCTCTGTTAGTATGTGCATAAGTGCATGACAGATGTTCAGACTACAATATAAACATTGCATTCAATTTAGAGAGGAAAAAATGACTTTACAATAGCACAGATGATCTGGGATTAAGCATTCTAGTATAAATGATGAATACAGAAATGCAGGGTGACGATTCAGAGTGTACTGTTCATTTTACACCATGCAGCTGTCCGTTTTTCTTTCACAGTTCAGCACGTGATGCAAAAGGTTAAAGTTTTCTTCTTACAAGTGTATAAATGGATAAAGAAACATGTACAAAAACATGCAAACCACAAAATCAATTTAAGACAACAGATGCGTCATGCATGGATAAATATACAGAGATGTGGTAAGTAAAGACCTGGCAACAGGACTTGACATTAAGCTTTTACAGATACATGAACATTTAGTTCATCTGTAAATAAGCAGCACATTGACATTAATACCAAAACAGAATGCGTAATTTCAACAATGTAGTAATTACACACAATTCAGACTATCAGAACCATGAACTGCTTGGTAATAATGACACAGGGTAGGTAACTGGAGGCTGGTGATCAGATGACGCCCGATAATTAGCATGCCGCTTCCGTTACCAGATCAAACAACAAGATGTTTTGTCCTGATCAGAAGTTTAAGAGATAGTTCATCATTAAACCTAAATTCTGACTTTATAACTCAGAAATGTGACTTTATTCTGAGTTGTAAAGTAGCAATTCTAAGTTATAAAAACAGAATTCTGAGTTATAAAAGTCAGAATTCCGATTTATATAGTCACTATTCCAAGTTATAAAAACAGCATTCTGAATTAGTCACAATTTCAAGTTATAAAGTCAGAATTCCGAGTTATAAAGAGAATTCCAAGTTATAGTCGCAATTCCGAGTTGGTCAGAATTCCCGAGTTATAAAGTCAGATTTCTGAGTTACAGTTGCAATTCCGAGTTATAAAGTCAGAATTCTGAGTTTTAAAGACAGAATTTCGAGTTATACAACCGCAATTCTGAGTTATAAAGTTAGATTTCTGAGTTATAGTGTCAGAATTTCGAGTTATAAAGTCAAAATTCAGAGTTATCAAGTCAGAATTCCTAGTTATAAAGTAAGAATTCTGAGTTATAAAGACAAAAATTCTGAGTTATAAAGTCAGAATTCCGTGTGATACAGCTGCAATTCCGAGTTATAAAGTCCGAATTCCAAGTTATAAAGACAGAATTTTGAGTTATAAAGCTAAAATTCCGAGATATAAAGTTGCAATTCTGAGTTATAAAGTCAGATTTCTGAGTTATAGACGCAATTCTGAGTTATAAAGTCAGATTTCTGAGTTATAGACGCAATTCTGAGTTATAAAGTCAGATTTCTGAGTTATAGACGCAATTCTGAGTTATAAAGCAAGAATTCAGAGTTATAAAGTCACAATTCCGAGTCATAAATTCAGAATTCTGAGTTATAAAGTCACAATGAGTGAGTTATACAGACGCAAATCCAAGTTATAAAATCAGAATTAATTTTACTTAAGTTGTTTTTCTGTTTAACACACAAGATATTGTGATAAATGCTGGTTTCAAGCATCCATTGACTAAGTCATTTATTCCATAGAGGTCGATACGTGTCAGCAACCAGCATTCTTCAAAATATCTTTTTTGTTTTTGGGTGAACTATTCTTTAAAGCTGTGCCCTGTGTTACCATTACTTTTCTAAAAAAAAATATTCAGAGATTCAGTACATTCAAATTCTTAAAGACAAGAAAATACAGTATGCCTAGAGTTTCATACATTTGAAAAGCATCAGGAAATTGAAAAGCAGACGTACATTGTCATTGATTGATCAAGCCTCCAATCATCTCGTAATTTCATGTATTAACATTCTCTCTGCTTTACAAATGCAGATTATGCTAATAAATCACCTGGATTGTTTTCTGCAGTACATTGCAGTGCACTCCATCAGAAAGGCTTGATTCTCCTGAGCAACAAGCTAGTGAACAATCTCAACCTATCGCCATGATTTAACAGAACTCACATCTGTCCTGCTGCTCAGTAGAAGTCTGAAGTCTGCATATGCAAACATGGAGAGAAAAGAACTTCACACATTCAGAATCTCACTTTATGCTGTCATTGCAATGCTTTACCACAAACTGCAGCGCTGGTTTTGCATATAGGAGTTTTACAACCTATACTAAAGGCTTTGATTGTTTCCTTTGGTGCAGCAGGTCTGGTTTTCGCAGTATTAGTGGATCAAAGTGAGGAATTATTGATGTACAGCCACTGGGATGTAGTTTGGTTTGATGGTTGCATAGTAGAATCTACATTCAGAACAGTGACCGACCCAGAGCTTTCAGATCGCTTCCCTTAGCCTTGCTCTTACACCAAAATGTTTGACGGAAAAGAAAAGTTAATTTCACATTCTTATTTTTTAACAGCCAACAGAGAAAAAGCTTTAACTTAAACCTGCGACATCATGCACAAATCATCTATAAATAGTGGTTCAGCTCTTCGGTCTGTGATCTTGGTCCGATCTGTCCATTCAGATGGTTTGACTGCGTCTCTGAGAATCTCAATGGACAGATGTAGTTTTGGTCACCGGGCAGAAGAGGGCAGTGTTGAGGCCTGGGTTCACCCTTGCTCTAAACTTTCAGTCACCTGAACAGCAGAGTAAGTGGGAGGCTGCGCTTGCCTTGTAAAGAAAGAAGCTGCTCTTTTGGGTTTCAAACGTTTGATTTCTTTGCCTGAAACAATGAAAAATTAAAATAAGCTTTGTCCCAGGTCTTTATTTCTGTATGATAAATAGGAAAAACTATGGAAGCCCCTTCCTGCCACTGAATTATAAAAAATAAAAAGTAAAAAAAAAAACTATAAAGAATTCCGAGTTATAAAGTCGAAATTCCGAGTTATGAAGTCAGAATTACAAAGTTATAGTCGCAATTCCGAGTTATAAAGTTGCAATTCTGAGGTATAAGGTCAGAATTTCAAGTTATAAAGTCGCAATTCCGAGTTATACATTTGCAAATCCGAGTTCTAAAGTCAAAATTCTGAGTTATAAAGTCGCAATTCTGAGTTAAAAATTCCCAATTCCGAGTTATAAAGTCAGAGTTCCGAGTTATAGTCGCAATTCCGAGTTATAAATTTGCAATTCGAGTTATAAAGTCACAATTCCGAGTTATAAATTTGCAATTTCGAGTTATAAAGTCAGAGTTCCGAGTAATAAAGTCGCAATTCAGAGTTTTACATTTGCAATTTGGAGTTATAAAGTCAGAGCTCTGGGTTATAAATCCACATTTCCAAGTTATAAAATCAGAGTTCCGAGTAATAAAGTCGCAATTCCGTCATACAATGTCAGATTTCCAAGTTATAATGTCAGAAGTTAAAATAAGTCACAACTTAAAATTCTGACTTTTATTATAGTTTTTTTATTATTATTATTATTTAGTGGCGGGAACAGACTTCCATAAAAAATAAAAAAAAGATGTCATAACAAAATGATTTTAAGGAGTTATACCGTCATCAACATAGTTGATGGTGCTCAGGGAATGGACTCGGCTACAGACCACACTGTTCTGTCTGCGCAGTTTCCCCTGCCGTCGCTCTCTGGTTTTGTTGTTGGTTTCTGGACTCGTAGGTTCATGGGAAGGCGTGACCTCACCGTCTGTACCTGTGGCTGCTGACTCACTAACAGAGCGTAACTCCACACAAAACTCGATAAGACCACTCATAAGTTCAGCCTAGAGAATAAAAATGAACAGTAAATTAATATTTACATTTTACATACACAGATATGAACAAAATAAGCTCATGAAAATTAATGTATTAGGTTTGAAAGCATTTAGATTTGACTTATTCCCAAAAGAGAAAAACAGTAATGATCAAAACTGCATGATGATATGGTGTCATGGCTTAGCAATCAAAAAAAAAAAGTCTTAGTACTTATAATGGCAGTCAATTAAGCAAAAACAGCCCCAAACATAATGAAAGGGTAGTACATTTGCCTATAGTGTATTGTTGAGTTTTTTTTTTTCAAAGCATTTTCATAAAAACAAAAATAAATTCACCAAAAATCATTCAATTTGCTGAAATACAGAGAAAGTTGTGTCCAAATTAAGACTTGAAAATCACCCCAGAGTAGATGAACACATTCCCAAAAGCACACAAGGGTTTATTGGATAAAACTGTCAACGTGTATTTATGTGCCATGATTAACCTGCTTGAATTTCGTGCGAGTTTACGTGTATCCAGCTAGTTCTTTACATGTGCCTGAATCCAAGCAACTATGAACTCCGTCTTCCTCCCCATCCCTTTTTGTAAACTCAAAGTAAAGTGGTTAATTATGGTGCTAATTGTTTTTCTGCTTTTAGTCAGTATCTTTGCAAGATATTTGTTTTGTTTGGCTATTGTTATCAAACACCAGTTTCAGATGCCTCGTGTTTAGCCTTCATTACCCTCTCATGTGCAGGTGTGTCTTTGTCAGTGTGGTGTTGTGGTTTCACGCTAACTAGCACAGAAACTGTGCAGCTGAGCATTTGTAAAATCCTGCAGTGTCACTTTTCATGTATAATGTTAGATGTTCGTTTGAATACATTTGACATTGATAAATGGCAGGCTGCAATGTCAAGCATAGACAAATAATATATGTCCATAATACATGACCGAGATACTTTGTTGTGATCACAGATTTTGCTATTATAGTGTGGAAAGACAGCTTCAAATATTCATCATGTCAGTCATACAGACTAGAGTCAGCAGTAGGTTGTGAGCAGCTTTTGCTACCTCAAGAATGGACCAACCACTCCTGATCCCCCTCTGAGAGGGGTGGGGTGAGCAGCAGACCATTGTCATTCAAAGCAATACTGCTCTGACAGGAGAAAAATGGAGTTTATTTTAGACTAGCATTGAAATGTTAAACCAAAGTAAGTTACAAGTTACTTTTCATTAAAGAGCCCCTATTATGGGTTTTTGAAAATGACCTTCCATGTAGTGTACTAAGATAAGTGGAATATCTAGCTAAGGCTCAAATCTAAAAGTGGACAGTTTTTACAACTATTGATTCATCTGTTAAAAAAAAAAAAAAAAAAAAAGGAGTCTACTCATAGTGGTTAGAAGGACTAGTCTACATAACGAGTCTTTAGCCGTTTCGGCGTGACATGGCTACGAAAAATAAGCCCCGCCCAATTGTTGCATGCGAAAACTGTAAAATTTAAACCTGCAGCTCCGCCCACTAACACAGCAGCAACGACAGATCCTTAAGTCATGAAAACGCTGTGCTTACCTGGATATTATTGGAAGTGTGAGGGAAAGGAGTGATTCAGCAGTCTACACGCTTACAATGGGCGATTCATTTGTTTAAGGAAGGATCAGAAAAGACTACTGCTGTATGAGACTTTGACAGAGCTGGACAGGAACTTCAGTACACAGCTCATAATTTAGTTTCCTTCTCTATTTTGTAATGGATAGACAATACACCAGGGGTGCGTGCAAAATAAGGCCAGTTTATTAGGCACTAAGTAAAACAAAGGCCGGCTGCTGCATGCTGAGGAGAAGTGCTGGTAAACGCTACAACCCCCTGGCTGGAGATGTGATCCTTGTGATCTAATGCCACGTTGAAAACGCGATGCATGCTGCTTTGTTTTGGGTTTAAATGCATTTGTGAGCTCGCCTTCCACTGCCGTTTGCCGTTGCTTTGGCCAACGTGAGCTGTTCCTTCACACGTGCAGCGGTCAAGGTTTGAAATTGTTTAGCTTTTGCTGCTGTGTGGATTAATACTGAATGCGAGTTATTTTACTATAGAGCAATACGCTGGTGTTTAACTACACTGCTTTCGGGGGTGAGGTGTCTGAATAACACTATTAAGAACCAGGTACTGTTTACTGTGGTGTTAGTAAGTTTACTATGAAGCATGTTTCAGACCGCGATCAGATCCTATACCAATGTTGGCGACCCGGGGGCTTGATAAACCGCACTTTACCGTCGCTGAACGCTGTCGACCAATCGCAACAGGTCATCGAAGGGTTTAGGAACAAATAAATGGCTGAACGATTCATATGGGAGTTGCTGGGATAATTAGGTAAAAATAAATTCATATTATAAGACCATGAAAGTGTTTTTTGATCTTGCATGCATATCAGTATGTTGTTAAAGACCCATAAAAACAAAATAGGACCCTTTTTAATGTATAATAGAGGCTTTTTAAGACCCTAAAGAATCAGATCAACTTGTGAAATGGGCATTTAGTGTCACCTTCAAGTTATGAATAGTGCAAGCTTACTTTGAAATATTACATCAAATAAATAACAAAAAGACACAAACACCAACCTTAGGCCCTCCTTTAAAAAACATCAGTAAAGTAGTAAAAAAAGCAACAAAGAAAACACCAGATGTAAACGGGAACGTGTCTCCATCTTGTGATCTGATCAGCCAAAATGTATCTTAATACCAGTTGTTAACTATGCATTGGTCATAAAGTGTGTACTCGCCTGCTTTGAGTAAATCTTTAATAACTTATTGACAGGGGTGCCAGCTTCCTCCCCATCAAACTCCAGCCAGAGAATATGCGAGTCTCCCTCTGTCTCTGGATAGCTGTGATCCCAGGAAAGCTCAGTGAACTTCAGCCCCAAAAGGACATGCTTCTCTTTCACATCCATGACATACACTCCTTCCAGACTGATGCCCACACTCACAGCCTTACGCCCACCTCTGTGAAGGAGGCCCTGAGCTGGCTTATCGATCTCACCCGCGAAAAAAGCACATCTGCCAAAGCAAAAACATTTGCCAGAGTTAAAACATCAGATTTTTATTTGCCCTGCCAAAATTGTCACTGACCCAGCTGAAAAATAATACAAATATTTTTTGTTGTCTTTGAATCGCTCATAGCATTCTCATAAAATTCACAATATTGTGCTTTATTCAGTGTTAAACATTTCTAAAGTGTTGAAAACCATTTTAGATGACATTAACAGCCATATTAAAAGGGCCAGCTGATTTTTATTCATTGCAAAAACACAATATCAGTTACTCAGCATGTAGTTTCAGTACAGAAAATGAGGTTTAATATTTATTAACTACATTAACAAATGTATGCGATATAGCAAATAATAAATAAGGAAATTACAACACAATAAATACAACATAAATAATATAACATAATAAATAACATATTGTTAATATACTATAACAAATAAATACAACATGATGACATACAGATGATTACAATAATGATACGCATCAAAATAACAGGGATCTTACCCATAGTAAGGCAGGTTGTGGCAGCTCCTGAGGTACTGGCGCAGCAGAGCGATGGGCTCCTGGCTGGAGCCGCTAGCAGCAGAGGAGCAGACTGAACGACACTCCTTTACAAGGTTTTGCTCCATCTCTGCATTCCTCCCGCCTCTCCCCCGAAGTGTGGACAGAAAACCTCCTCCTCCTAGAGCCGCATGGGCTGGAAGGAATGAGGACAGCTTCTTCTCTCTGGAATAACATCACATGGGCAAACTGCAATTAATTACAGCATTTCAAGATCAGTTTTAAAGGAAAAATTCTGTACTTGTTCCAAACCTGCTTGATTTTCTTTCTTTCATTTAACACAAACATATATTTTTTACATAGAGCTGGTAACCTGTAACCATTGGATTCCATAGTATTTATTTCTTCAAAATATCTTCATTAGTGTTCAACAGAATAAAAATTGAAAGCACTTGAGGGCGAGTAAATAGTGAGTAATTTTTTAGGTGAACTTTTCCTTTAATAAAAAAATTATACCACAATTGTTGAAAATAATTTAATCTTAGGATCGAGATTAAACTTGCAACTTGAAATTGATAAATAGTAGATAAACATCAAACAGTAAATGCAAAAATATGAATATATACAATTTTAAAAGGGTTATGAAACGAAAACCAAATTGCCTAGACTGTAAGACTGGAGAGAAGCATCCATCTATTGGTACTTGATTTCTTTTTCCTTTTACTCTGATGTGCGAGGTACCAGTGCCTCCCACACATAGACTTTACTTGGGCGAGTCGCCCAGGTATAATAACGGTATAACCTAGTATATGTGGTGGTGACATGTGAATAATACTATTATTATCATCCTTTTACACTCTTTCCGCCCAAAAAAGCCAAGCAGTCGTGATCAATTAACCAGTAGAAAATCTTCTCACACATTTCCTACTGCTGGTTCTGTGTGTGAGAACAAAATATACTGGCTGCAAAATATTTGAACACCATTAAAAATGGTTAATCAACTAATTTGACTTATTTAAATAATCTACACTTTTTATTCCTAGTAATTATTATAATTTTTAGCATTATTGCCTATTTTTATTAATTTTTTGTTATTTATTTCTCATTTGCTGTATATTTTATTAAGTTTATGACGTTAATATATTGCATGCAGCCTTTACCTGTCAGTGGGTGCACATGGCTCCTAAATAGCATAAAAGTAGGAGAAATAGTGGATTTCTTTTATTTTAATAGTGTTTTAATATTTTTAACCCACTGAAGAGAAAATGTGTATAAAAGTGTCATATAATAAAAATATAGTTGTTTTGTTTGTTGCATGTTATTAACCATTTATGCGTGTTTCAATCCGGCTACCACCACAAGTATATTTTAAACCTGTGGGAAGCACTGCCTACACGTTTGTAAGTGCAAACAATCTTGGAATTAATATCCCAAAAAAGAAGACATCAAACGTCAATCATTTGCTGAACAACTTTACATTAACCTTTTTTTATTAGAAACACAGGACCATTAACCTCTATATTAATCACATGGGATCACCTGATTGCTGCTGTGAGAGCCTGGTCGTCTAGTTCAGTCCCTAACTCTATGGCACAGGACAATGCACCCAGTGTCAGCCAGTGTTCTGGGTCACATGGGTACCGACCCTCCAAGATGTTCATCTTTGCTTCATCATAAAGCAGTCTCAACACTCCTTCATCTTCAATCTGACAATACAAAACAAATATGTATTAAAAAGTAACTAAAACAAGCAGCTCATGACTGTAGCAGAAATTCTAAAAAATCCTATTTGTGTAATTTCTTATTTCCTGATGTGTACAGTATGTTCTGATATGTATTCAGAGAATCAACGAAGATCTGGCTTGTCTATATGAATGCTATCCAACTTAATCTCTTTGGATCCCTTCATGTTATGAAGGCTCAGAGCAATAAGCAGCTCATGACCTCCACTGCCCAGCCCAAAGCGTTCAATCAAGCGCAAAGTCTTACATAACATGTGTACAAACCAACATGAAACACATCTGATACAATGCAAATGAGCCTCCGCTTTTGCACAATTTCCCACTCTGGGGTCATATTGCGCAATCTGAGCAACAACTGCAATGTGAAAAGTTGAAGTGTGGATTAGGCTTAAATATAAACGGAGACATTCCTGTTTTCATATCTTCAGTTTACACAATAAATGAAGCCAAATACTAGTCTGAAAAGACACAATGGCTAGCAAATAACGAAAGAATCTACATTTTTTGGTGAACTATACAATACAAGACACAAAACGTGCTCAATACCTGAAGTTCTTTTGCCCGTGGATAAAAAACACTTCGTTTGAATAGCAGACTTGGCTCATCTTTAAAAAGATAGAGAGTTAGACAGTTAGACATCTAACTGTTCAGGTGGGGGGAAGCATGAAAAAAACAAACACAAAAGTATACCTAAAGAAATGTCTTCTGTAGGGGCCTCGGTAAAGCGGTACAGCAGGTCCTGCCACTGACGACACAGCTTGTAAGGCAGATGTTTCGGCTTCAACTGCAGCTCTGTTTAAGCAGAAAACAAGGAAATTAGGCTAAGGGTGGGAAACTTTAAGTTCGGTCCAAGAAATCGTAAAGTGAATGTTTCTGAATGAAGTCTGGAAGTGTGTGATGCTGCTTTTAAGATCTGTTCTCACCAAGAATGATAACTATACTGATAATTATATTAATACCCACATTAAACAACATATTTCTGTTAATTGAACTCATTCTGCAAATTTTTCACCTTTAAATGATCGAGCTCTTGAACATCAGGGTGATTGCGGTTGGATGTTAATGTTTCTATAATTCGTTAGCAGGGGGAAAATAGCTCAGAAACTAAATCCAATGACACTGTTATCATGACAAACCATCAATTGGCCATGTTGAAGGCACAGAATCTAAACCATGCCGCCACTAAACCAAACAAAACTCACATATTTTGCTGATAAATGCTGGTAAAAATAAACAATTATTATCATGTTTTTGGCTGTACTAATAGGTCAGACCAGAAAATTGTTTAGAGTACTAATCTAGAATGCAAATAAAGCATAAAAGAGAAAAAAAAACTGTCTGAGGGACAAAATGTACTCATGGTTGGCCAAAATATACAGGATTTTCAAGGGTAAAAATCTTGACAACAGCCCTCTGCGGTCTTATTTCAAGTCAAGATCTGAAATAAATAGGCTATTATCTGATACCTATTACATTTAGTTTTTCAAAATATTGCATCCTTTCCAGCTTTCCAAGTCCTTCTGCATTTGATTTAGCAGCATACACTTTATTTGTTCATAGTTTAGACAGCATAAATAACCAGAACAACTTGTTTAGTAGTACATTAACTATGCAACTCATTCTGTTGATTACATCCAGGTATCGCAATATGACCCATACATACGGGTAACTGACCAAATCTTGACATAAGTGCAAAGCCTCTATTGTTCTTACTGATAATAGTATGGACTACCTTAATTATCATGATTATTATAAGCATAATATTGTTATGGTTATCATCCAATAGTCTGCATGCCTTCAGCATTTGCTGGCTTTTTTCTTCTAACCATTTACAATGTTTGTGAACGCATGACGTCTGCCGTTTAAACTCATGTTGTGTATTCCTGTCTCCAGTAAGTAAAAAGCTGTCTTTGTTCATAGAGACATTCAATAATTCACAAATGTCAGTGGGTGGCATTAACGCCTAGAGGACTTCCTGAAGTCCCCTCCCAACACTTAAGTTGCAAATCAGCCATAGAGGCATTAAATGCCATCATTGTGCCTTTCTTGCCTTCGTAACCTACATATGAATTGGTCATAAGCTCTATTTTAGTCTAACATCTGATCAGAGCACAAAAAGAATGTTCATTACCAAGCAAAGGAGAGCAGAACCAGAAAGCGAACACATCAGCAGCGGAGTTGGGAATGTTGAGGGCCTCCCTAACACTGCGGCCGAGCTCCTGCGCATTCATGCAACCGAGACCCTCCAGAGTCAAGTGCACTGCACTGTCATTAGCCAAGTACACCAACAAATCCTGAGCTGGAGAAACACAAGAGAAAACACAGATCATGTCAGGTCAACTTTGATCTGAGCTATATTAAAGTGAATATGGTCTAAAAAGCAACCAATGAAACCTTAAAAGTACAGACCTCTGGTGACTGAGGAAGCCACACTTCCTCGCTGGGAAAGGGAATGTTCTGATGGCTCAGGGGGGAAGTCGCCATCATCTCCCTCCATCTAATACACAAACAAGAATAGAAAACAATAGGTATTTTTGCTATTGGTATATTCTGCTACTTGTTATTATATTCCGTACAAACGAAGCACACACACACACACACAAAGGAAAAATCTGCAGTTGAATAGTAATGTCTACAGCATTTTTTCCAGTCATAACAACAAGTTTCAGGAACGTTATATTCAAAGCTAACGTAGAAACTTTTGAGTTCCTGAAGTATTCATTGTATGTTTTACAGTTTGTTTCGCTCATTTGTATCGTAAACATCACCCTGTGTGACAAATTAATTGAATATACAATAGTGTTATGAAAAAGAATTAGAAAAACAAAAGTCCTTATTCTGGCCAGCTAATGTTAGCTAGCTACTCCAGTAACGTTAACTGTCTGGCAAAAAAAACGACAGCAAGCAACATACCGAGACACTCTCCTTCGATTCAGAAGCTCGTTTTTTGTTAAAAACAAACCGAAAGCATCAATGTTTAGAAGGATTAAGTTACATAAAAGAGCTACGAGTATGACGGCAGCAGCAGCGCAGCTGGATAATGTTCTTAAAACAGCGCCCACCGGAGAAACTAGCAAACACATGGCAGGAGAAATATGAGTGTTGAAGCGCTGTACTGTAAACCGCCAACAGAGAGCGCTTCACAGCCCAAAATCACAATTTTGCAGCGGACACTGAGACATTTACAGTTTATTCTTTAATAAAACATAAATAAAAGCAATATTTAATTATAGATTACATAGATGAAAACCGATGACTTCATATAAATTTATCCTTTTTACAGTCGTTGCATGTATCCCAATTATTTGATTCTCTCCGATTGTTAAATTATGCTGAAATGGATTTTAAAGAAATGTTCTCTTCTATGTTTTAGTGATTTCTTTGAGGCGCCAACGCCAAGTCTGAGAGTTTGTGGCCCACGTGATCCATTCTCATCATTGGCAAGAGTTTAGTGCCATCTGCTGCAGTTTAGACTTTATAAACTAAACAATCAAGAACATGAACCGTTTTTAATGATAATTTTCAAACACACTGCGTATAGGTATTTGCTTTTAGTTTTAGAATTTTTTTTATTCTTCCTAGATTTTAATTCTACTATGACAAAATTGTTTTTAAGAACCCACAGTTTCACAGTCATCAAAATTTAAAGAGCCCCTATTATGCATTATAAAAGGTTATATTTTGGGGGTCTCCAACAACAGTCTGATATGCATGTAAGGTCAAAAAACTATTTCATTGTCTTATAATATGCATTTATTTTTACCTAATTATCCCAACGACTCCCATAGGATTCGTTTAGTGATTCGTTTGTTCCCAAACCCCTCCTTAGCGCAATGCTAATCTGCGCTGATTGGTCCGATGACCCAGTCTGTTGTGATTGGTCAACTGCGTTAAGTGCGAGACAGAGAGAAATGCCCACCACGGCTTATCAACAATTTTGAAGTAGTCAAAGTGCAGATTGTATGTGTGTGCATACCTGCCAACACTCCTGTTTTCCCCGGGAGTCTCCCGTATTTCAGACCCAACTCCCGCTATTCTCAGTTTTGTTATTTCTCCCGGAAAACTCCCGTAATTTCACAATTTGCAAGCTAGAGAAAACAAAGGGGCAACCATTTTAATTGCACTTACACTTAGTCCGTTAATACTTAATTATTTTTACAAAAATAAACTTCAACTACTGACTCTTCACAACCTTAACTTTGGGTAAGGCAAATAACGCTAACTTTCCCTCACAGTTCAGAGCACAGCATCTATGTGACTTGATTCAACCAGAATCTGCTAAAATGTTTGTGAGCGGGGCCGGGGGTTTAAATTTTTCCAGGTCTGCGCATTGGGCAGGGTTTGAATTCCATACCTACGTCATGCCAACACGGTTAAAGACGTTACAATGGCAATTTATTCGAACCACTATGAGTCAACTTTTTATAGATGAATCAATAGTTTTAAACTCGGTGCACTTTCAGATTTAAACATCAGCTGAATATTCTTTGTTACACATTGCATTGAAGGTCATTTTTAAAAACCCATAGTAGGGGTTCTTTAAATGTTTTATTTTTTAATAGTAATGTGCCTAATGTGGCACTGTTTTACAGAGACTTCTCATCTTAATTCTATACTTAGGCCTAATTTTAGTTATATCACCACTGCAGGACAGCCTGCCCCATGACCTCAACACCAAATTGAGACCTCCACCCCCACACAAAGAAGAGGCTAACTTACAGACACCTGGGCCAGTACATCTGTGTCCTGTCTAACATGCTTTTCATAGTTCTTATTCATTTGAGACTCCAAATTAAAGCTCCTTCCTCCTTTTCTTATTCTATAGACTTTTCATGTATTCATGACTGTTTTCCACATATGGTTTATATCTTGTTGGAGCCGTACAGTTAAAACCTTTCATGCATTCCTTCAAGGGCCCTTCATATCACCCATTTCTTCAGGCCTCTCAAGACACATATAATAGCAAGATACATGTCTAATTATATATAGGCCTACCTGGTTACAGTGGTTTACGCACACCTGTAGAGAATGATGTTAGGGGTTCTTGAATCACAAAGGGGTTACACGTTAAAAATGTTATGTACAAGTTACTTTTTTACTACCTATGTAAAAGTTATACCCTACTACCATAGGTGATTTATGTAAGTCAAATGTTGACAAATGTTTCAGTGATGTACTTGGTATGTTTTCAGAGAACTGTAATAAATATGACAAAAAACTAAATCAAATGAATCTTGATAATTCATTCATTTTTCTTCGGCTTAGTCTTTATTTCAGAAGTCACCACTACAGAATGTACTGCCAACTATTCCAGCATATGTTTTATGCAGCGGATGCCCTTCCAGCCACAACCCAGTACTAGGAAATACCCATACACACTCTACGGCCATTTTAGTTTATTTTGGTTTTATTCACCTATAGCGCATGAAACTGAAGTATCCAGAGGAAACCCATATGAACACAAAGAAAGCATGCAAACTCCACACAGAAACGCCAACTGGCCTAGCTGGGACTCAAACCAGTAACCTTTTTATTTGTGAGGTGACAGTAACACTGAGCCACTGTGCCGTCTAATCTTGATAATGTCAGATAAATTAAATAGCGAGTCACAGCATGTAATGAATTAAAATCTACCAAATATAATTCAGACAAATGTTATTTGAAAATATTACCCTATATTTTTCAAGATTTGCTGTAGTAGTGTTTTCAGTTTCTGTTGTTAGTTGTACTGTAAGGATATTTTTTGTTATATGTCACAGTTTACTTTATTTATCCTCAGTTACACAGTGCCCTGTGCTCATTAGTGAAAGTAAAACACAAACATTATTTCTGGTGTCCGAATAATTTTTGTTTTGATTGTAAATGGCTCTCAACAGTGTGTGTGTGTGTGTGTGTGTGTGTGTGTGTGTGTGTGTGTGTGTGTGTGTGTATGTGTGTGTGATGTGTGTGTGATGCATTTTTACAGCAGTTTAATTCAGTGAATGTTTTCATTCCGAACATAACACAACATTCATTCTAACATTCTAACATTCATTCTGAATTACCTTCAGACCCAGAGATCATTTGTATGAATTGAAGAATGGTAAAACTCAACTTTTTAACTGACTTAAGTGTCTTTAAGTGACTTGAAAAATGAGCCTAAGTTCAATATAGTGTAGTATTCCTTTAACTTGATTGTAGGACTTTTTCACCAAAAGGTTCATACAGATGGCAAAGGCAGATATTGATAAAATCAGGGAATGGTTAATATGTGTCTGGACTTTGGGGTTTTTATGATGTGTTCACATGTTGATTGGTCAGTTTGTATGTCTTAGTATTTGGGCTTTGGTCACATAGTCAATTTACAAAATAGGTGGTAAACTATGCTCTGGTCTCTTTTCTTGCTCTGCTCCTCTCCTGCTGTGGAGTCTATCTTCTCTATTGCTATCTGGCGCTCTTTGAGGCCTAATCTCTGGTCTCTCTCTCTCTCTCTCTCAGGTTACTTTTATTTTACATTTAAGCTGGGTACAAATACTATCATTTGCTTATATCATTTTATATTTCAAAATATATACAGTTATCTGTATCATTTAATTTTTAAGTATTTGTAAATTATTTTTGATTTAACATCACTTAATTGCTCCATATTGCAGTGCAATACAATCACAAAAGCAACACTCTCCCACATTTTAAGCTATTAATTACTGCCCTTATTTCTGTTTTTGGTATTAAATAGAAACACACATGACTACATTCACATTGATTATGGGACATTCTATCAGAAATGTACATTTTCACATATAAAAAATGTGACAGGGGCTAATTTAAGCCTGTCGCCCTCAAAAAAATCATACAAAAACAAGCAGAAAATCATACAATTCAATGATGGAATAGATCCTTGATCAAAGTCAGCTTCTTGTCTGTCAAATGATGCCCCTTCTGAGTCATAGCCTTAAAGCATATATACACGAGATATCGCATACGGATCCTGAGCATGTGTCAGTAGCGCCGCCACATTTGGTGCTTCCAGGACAAATGTCATTCAGCCGCACTCAAGACTAAACCCAATGTGAAGATGCTAGACTTTAGCACTGTGTACGAGTGTAGTAACGAAGAAAACTAAGCACAAAATGTTTCATAGGTAAGATTTCATTTTTTACGTTTTCGAATGCTATGAACTTTTGTGCTAAACAAGTAACGTTATTGATGATAATACAGTCACTTACTGCACTGAACATAAGGCAAAGTAGCACCAACTTGCACTAAATTCTAGGCTTATGCTAGTTTTGTTAAATACAATCAGCAAACAATGTAAATGAAAGATGACAACAAGATACTGCGGTGCTAGAAACTTGTATTGTTGTCAGCTAAGTAAACAAGTTGTTCATGGAGATTCATTCACAAACGAATGGCTTCCTCCATTAATATGAGAGGTGAAATCAGGAGAGGGGGCGTGTTTCAGGACATGGATTAAATACATTTTAACAGGGAGGGAGGATAATACATTTATATGCACACAAAGTAATAAATTATAATTTTCGTTATTTCAAAAATATTTTTATACTGACCACAAGGAAAACTCCTGATCTATATATGTATATATCTGGCTCTGGATGGCCAGTCCTCCACTGCACCCTGGTCCTGCATCCATTTCAAAGGAGCGCTCCCCTGTACTAAAATGGCAGCTCTGTTGACAAATTCCTTCCAATAGACAACAGGGTAGGTGATATCTAATGTAAATATCTATGACCTTAAAGGTGTGTTGCATACATTTTATGTTAAATGTAATGCAAATGTGACAGGACTGACTGAAACATGCATGGGTAAATTGTAAAATTATATATTTTATATATATTATAGTTATATATTTACAGTATTTATATGTAGAATTTTTTTTCATAATTTAATGTTTTTTATCAATTGATGTAAACAACAACACCTTAAACGTGCTATTTCTGAAATATTTATTTCCTAAACAACAGTTTTTAACATAGCAAAACTATTAAAGCTGTAGGTTCAATTGGGCTAAGGACAAGGACAATGTTTTTAATAAAGAACAAAAATCTGAGAACCAAATGAATGACATATTCCTTTACAGAACAACTCACAGAAATAAACCACTTAATCCATTTGACTAAACGATACCAATAAAACAATAAAACCCAATAACAAAGAGGACTCAAACCAACTGAGAACTTTAAAACCCAATAAGTCAAGTCAACTCAAACCGTTTGAGAAAACTGATTGCTACAAACCATTTGAGTTAAAAACTATCTATATGAGTACTGTGATCTTTCTCCATTTAAGTTAATGTAATGAGGTATTTCATTAACTCACTACCTTCAACACTGAGTTCAAAACTCTTTTTAAATAAGTAGAATTAACTTTCAGTCAATTTTAAGTTAACTACACTCATTTTATTCTGTTGGTTTTTACAGTGTATTTACCCCTTCGACAACATCGGGCAATGCATTTTCACATGTTTCAGTTGAGCACTCGACTGGGTGAAGGTTTTCCCACATGAAGAACAGATGTATGGCTTCAATCCTGTGTGAATTCTCTCATGTTTTCTCATAGATCCTGACTGAGAGAAGCCTTTTCCACAGTGTGAACACTTATAAGGTTTCTCTCCAGTATGACGTTTTTGGTGGTCCTTCAAATGACTGGCCAAATTGAAGGAGTTTCCACACTCAGTGCACACATGCGGTCGCACATCAGCATGCAGTTTCTGGTGCTCTTTAAAATGGTCCATGCGTGAATAACTCTGTCCACAAATCGAGCACAAGTAAGGCTTCTCGTTTGTGTGGATCCTCATGTGTCTTTTCAGGTGAGAAGAAATCATGAAATTTTTCCCACAGAGATCGCAGCCAAAAGCTCTCACTCCAGAATGAGAGAGCTTGTGATCTCTGAGGTTTCTGGGATCTGAGAAGCTCTTGTCACACAGTTGACACTCGAATGGCTTTTCTCCAGTGTGAATCCTCATGTGAATCTTCAGGTTTTGTCTTTGTGTGAAGCTCCTTCCACACTGGGGGCAGAGGAACATTTTTATGGCTTCTGTTTTTTTGCTTTCGGTCTCTGAGCCTATCAAAAGATTCTTCTTCACCTTATTCAGATCTTGATTTTCCAGGATTGAGTCTAAAATAAACACATCATCTGTCAATGTTCAAAATTCGGTAAAAGTAGTGTAAAAATGCTTGTAATTTAGCTTAAGCAATCCAAAATGTGGGTGTCTGTTATCATTATTAGAGCAATGAAGTGAAATAATTGGACCATTCAAAGAGCATCATTTACAATAGTATGTTCGATTAGTATAATAAATGCAACTTTTACTTTCAATGTTCAGTTTCTTGCACAAATTAATTTGACTGTTAAAGTAGCTGCTAACATTTTCATTAATTAAATAAGTTTTAAATAAGAAACATACATTTTTTATCATTAGATAGACATACACAGCTATGTAAACACTACAACATATAATGAGAGAAACATAAAATATATATTAGGATAATACAAAGCATAATATATATAGATATATACAGAGAGATCGGAATCGGCTGATGATCCCATTTCATGACTCGATCGGTACTCCCTAATCTGGCCGATCTCATGAACCAATCACAATTGTTTGTTTACAAGTTTACAAGCAGAGGACATTTAAGAACTGAAATATTTTTAAATATCAGAACTGAAAGTTCTGTTTCCAACAATATTGCAAGTTCATTAAAACCTGGCTGGAAATGTTAGGGAAATGAAAAAAACTAAAACTATATTACTAACTTATCATATTAATATAACTAATCATAATATACTTATTGTAATAAACAGTAGTTTATGGATCCATATCCTTTAAGTAAAGATGTAATTTTTCTAGGTGTGCATTTTAACTTCTTATGCATCAAATATGCGCTCCAAACTTCAAGACATGTTGAATTTTTCTTTCACCATGAACAAAGTTTCTAAATGGCTTTGTTAGTGATTTTTCTTACTAATTTTTTGTAACTGTTTTATCTATTATTTTCAGTAAAACTGAACCTGACCATGACATGTCCACACTGAATGGTTATAAGAGACATGTTTAAGGATTTTACGCATCATTTTTAATTTATTATCTTAGGTAAGGTGAGATCTCCACTGAAGTATCATACTAAGATGTAACATGTGCTTCATGCATTATAAGGCTTGAAGCATCAGAATTGGTACCAGCCGAACACCATGACAAAGACTTGGTACTCAGTATCAGATGCAAAAATCCTGATCGAAGCACCCCTAATATATAGTTTTGTGTGAATTATCCCTTTATATATATATATATTTTTTTACGACTGCACAATATTGGAAAAATCCGATATTGCGATTCTTTATTTTTCTGTGATGTGAATAGTTTGACAAGTTAATTTGAATAGTACTATTAGATGGTTTCCTGAGGAGTCTAACAGTATTCAGGCACAGAAATTAAATAATCGCATTACAAAAAAGGCTTCTATTACTTTGTTTTGTCTCGTTTCAACTCCAAATATAAAAAAATTCTTAGAGTAAGTAAAATATTGTCTTGTTTTCACTGTGAGAAGTCAAAATTATAAATTTTTTTTTAAACAAGCAACATTATCGGCCAGTGGGGAAGTAAAATAATCTTGTTTTTTGCTTTTAAACTATTTGAACTATTAAGTTAACAAGACAAAAATTCTAAGTAAAAAAAACGTTTTTGCATAAACTATATAAATTTTGTATAAGTACAGTGATTAAATACAAGTCTGTAGCTCCTGCTCAACTATAATTCAGACTCAACATTGCATATTTTTGCGACTATTGCGAATGCGCACAATTCAATATTGATGCTACAACGATATATTGTGCAGCCCTAATATATATATATATATATATATATATATATATATATATATATATATATATATATATATATATATATATATATATATATATATATATATATATATATAATTGTATAATTGTAATTTTTTTAGTAATTTATTTTAAAAAACCCATTTATCCACACCTTGGTTATATATGCACAAATTCATTTTTTTCAATATTTACAGCAAAATTTCGTTTTTGTGTGAACTATCCCTTTAAATCAAGCAGACGACAACAGAACTTGTTTAAGACTACATTCTACCATTCACATTAGTTATAATTAAATCAAGTTAATAAATCAATTTGTGTACATTTAGGCTGACTTTGTCACCAGATAAGTACGTCAATGCGAACAAGTAACTGTTTGATAACCCGTTTGTTTAACAGAAGAAAAACTTACATATGCGCATACCAACTTGTTCCTCTGGATCTTTATTTTCCATCCTACGTGGTTTTAGATCACCTAAACACCAACTTTCCATCCTTGTAGTTGGTACAGTAGTTTACAGTTGTCTGTTGCTTGTTCTGGTTTAGAAAGTTATTAATGAGTGAGCTAACTGCTTTGGGACAGTGGGAGTGGCCTGTGAAAACGTGTTAATCGGTGGCTTTAGGTGTTGTTGTGTTAAATCGCTCTTCAGACCATACAGAAAATAACACAATGAACTAAATGCAGACATTCAGGTGTTAACAGCTGTTTGAAAAGCATCGGCATGATCCCAATAGTGCTCTTTACTTCAACAGCAGTTTCTGTGTAGGCTACTTTTAAATTGCTCGGAAAATATAGCCTAGTTATAAGTTTTTACGACATATTTTTAAGTAGGTCAGCTTATACTATACTGTTTTTCCTTTACTGTAAAATAATTATTTAATTGAGACTAATGATGTGCTCATATGTATGAGTACAAAAGGATAATGCTTTCAAATTGAAAGGAGTTTGGATGAATATTCCTTCAGTCATGTTAGGATAACGGGAACCGAAAAATGAATAATTAAATATTTAATTTTAAATTATCTAAATGAGCAATAAAAAAAAAAAATACTGTTGAAGTCAGAATTACTAGCATCCTGTTTATTTTTTCCAACATTTTCTGTTTAACAGAGATTTTTTTTTCAACACATTTCTAAACATGTTTTAATTAACTCATTTCTAATAACTGATTTCATCTTTGCCATGATAACAGTAGATACTATTTTACTAGATATTTTTCAAGACACTTCCATACAGCTTAAAGTGACATTTAAAGGCTTAACTAGCTTAATTAGGTAGACAGGTTATAGGTAATTAGGCAAGTTATTGTATAAAAAGGTTTGATCTGTTTTTATCGAAATAAAAGCTTAAAGGGGCTAATCATTTTTAACCTAAAACCTTAAATTAGTTTTTTTTTTAAATAACATACTGTGAAAATGTCCTTGCTCTGTTAAACATTATTTAGGAAATTATATATACAAAACACTGTACATCTTTGTAACCTAGTTAGTAGTATAGCTAAAAATACCTTACAAAATAGTTCTAAAGTAATCAAACTTTGGTATTTTCAAAACCTGCAGTTTCATTCTACTGTACAAAAATAAAAGCTGAATTTTTTCAACTCCACTTGAGATGATTGTCTAAAAAGTAAAAGTCAAAAAGGTTAAGAGCCACATAAAAAGGTCTCATTTTCTATATGCCATGCATGACCTTGACAATATTCTAAGTAAATAAAACAAAATTGTTAATGTACAATCAATAATAAATAAATACTTTAATAAATATTAGTATTATTACTGTAAATATACTGGTATTGTTCAATACACATTTTGGTTTAAGGATAACTTTAATGACAAGGTTAAACCCCTTTCAAATGTTGATCATTTAAATAAACTACTAAATTACCATGGATAATTTGTATATGTTTTTACAGTTAACCTTTTACCCAGATATAAGATTCTGTCATGATCATGCTTAGTCATATGCATTTAATTATATACACTACACCAAGCGATGCTATTTCTGTTACCCAGAGAGCAAAAACATCTAAAAGAACAATGACACATTATTATCAAGCAAGAAAAATCTAAGTGTTTTCACTTGACTAATAATCTATTTGCTAAATGCATATGATAAAGACTTTCCATAAATTACTAAGAAAGGTTAGGAAATAAATGTGGACTGCTGTAAAAGTACTGGGATTTGAGAGCAGACGGCGGACTCAAGCTGATGTCTCCTTGATCGATGCAGCAAAGTATTTGGCATTCAAATTCCTGAACAATTTCTTTAAAAACTGAAGAGATAATTTTCCACGAGTGTCTGTTTTATTCAATAGTGCCACACACTGAGCGCTCCAGCAAAAGAGTATGGTGAATTAAAAGGGTCTCTGCAAAACACAAGTCAAAAGAAATGTATTTTACGTATGTTAATACCAGGTGGAAACAGTAAGATCTCAACTTACCCCTTGTGATCAGATCACTAAATACACATTATTAGCAGGTGGAAGCACAGTTATCAATTATACTTTAGCTTTAGCTAAACCATACCTGTAAGAAACCTTAATGCAAAACAATAAATACAGCCCTGGTAACACACACACACACACACACACATAAAATATAATAAAGAAAAGCTAACAAACACACACTAAACAATGTTGTTTAATATCACAGAACCACAGACAAACCCTACACGAAGACGCTGGAGAGTCACTGCTTCACATGCTGACCACTTGATCTTCATTAAAGCCTGAACAAGAAAAGGCACCACTTCAGCAAGTCGCGCATCCCAGTTCATAAATCATGAATATTGATACAGAAGGATGAATGTTAGCGGCTATTAACACAGTGGTCTGGACATTATCACCTTCATTATTCAGGCAAGTACCTGAACGAGTGTGTGCCTGTGCTTTAATCTTACTTTCAAATACAAGACAAAAAAATAAAGATGCAGGAGGAAGAGCCATCAATGTTAAACAACCGTAATGTATTCTGACTTTATTGAGCACCACATAGGAGAAAGTCTTTCATTGATATCCAGATTGACCACCTCTACACAATCTTCCCCGGTGTCCCGTCCTGCTCCTCACACTCTCCCTGAGAAAACAAGAGTTTTCTAACAGCAGCCGCCGCCTGACTGTTGCACCGGGGTGCTTTCGATTTTAAGGTCAGGTTTCTCAGAGCCCCCTGAAGCTCCTGGTCTCATGCGCTTCTTTATCTCCTCTGCCATGGTCATGAAGGCCTGCTCCACGTTTGTGGCATTTTTGGCACTCGTCTCAAGGAAAGGGATGCCAAGAGAGTCAGCAAATTCCTGTGGAGAGAGAAGAAATTTGTGTTTAGTTACTTTACATCAAATTCTTTTGCATGAACATGACACTTCACCTATAAAAGAACGTTCTGTCATCACTTGCTTCCTTCTTCCAGATTTTTGTTCATATTTGAAACACAAACCTGAAATATTCTTGCCATTGAAAGTCTGTTTACTTAAAAAAATGACCCTTTAAAAGGGGTAATTTTTTCCTTTTTTTGGAAAAAGGCTCATTTTAAAACCGCCGTATTGGATTAGACCATTAGCATCTCACTCAAACTTGTAAGACCCTTGGATAATAAATCAAGGTAACAATCAAGGATTTTTGCTGCTGTACAATGCATTATGACATTATGCAATGCTGTTCCCTAGCTGGGGACTGCTATTTTTAGGCTGTGCATAATACCCTTGTGCCCACTGCAGCCATGGTATAGCAGCAAAGTCTGTTGATCATTAATGGTAAAGCTTTAAATGGTAAAATTATTAATATATTAAGAGTGATGCTAATGTTCTAATCCGACTCAATAACTTATGCTGACCTAAGCTAAAAAGCAAAACTTTTTTTTAGTGTAATGCTAAAAGTCTAAACCAATCCAATTTACGCTAAGCTAAAATAAAAAGCAAAACTTTTTTGGCATGATGCTAAAGTTCTAAACCGTTTCAATGATTTATGCTAAGATAAAAAACTACTTTTTTAACGTGATGCTAATGGTCTATTTCTATTCAATAATTTAAGCTAATCTAAGATATAAAACAAAACGTTTTAGCATGATGCTAATAATCTAATCCGATTCAATAATTTATGCTGAGCTAAGCTAAGCGTGTGCTCTCATCAAACCCAGAAATCGGCTGAATAGGTAAAAAAAAAAAAAAAAACCTCCAGGGCCCAGTTTTTCTAAAGTAATAATCCAGTGGGATTTTGGATCACAGATTGGATAAATTCTTGGACATGGGTTTTCAAAAGGAACTGAGGAATTTTGAATTAAGATCAGACCATGTAATCCAGTCTTACGCTTGATTTGGATCAAACCTGCCCTTTGGGTTTTTCAAAACTTTGAACTCAGATGGAATTTATTTGATCCAAAAAACAGGATTCCCCTGACCCCATCAGAAGGCTGGATTCAGTTGTGATTTTTTTAAACCAAAAAAAAAAAAAATAAAATAAAATAAAAGAAAGTATTTTTTAAGTGCATGACTACAAACTTAACGGTTACTGATGATATTTACATTCCTTTACATTTGAAGCCTATATTAAAGATGTCACATCTATTGAGATATAGTAAACAACAAAACAATATCGAAGCAGTATTGTAAAAGAACAAACTAAAAATGTCAAATGTTTGTTGATTGCAGTGTTTCTGTTTATTACTATTAAAACATACAATGTTTGTGGCCACTGGTCTCTTGCCTACCTAGGCTACACTGTTGGTTCCATTTAAAGGGGGTCACACACTAGAAGCGTCGCTCGGCTACGCGCTGCGTAGCGCCATGCATTTCAGAATTCTAAACAAAGGTTTCTATCAGGGTACACACAACGTCGCCACAAGCCGGCGACTGTCTGCAGCTGTTCGTGGCGCTTAGCCAAGACTCAGGACACTGTTCATATTTCTGCCGCACCACAGAGCACCATCTGAAAAGTTTAATGTTAAATTTCATGCGAATGTGCGCGTCTGGTTTGCGATACTTTTAACGGTCATGTGCGCACTGTGTTGCGGCGCCGAGCAGCACATCCGGTGTGTGACCTGCTTAAGGCTCACAGGAATAAAAAAGAATTTGGTAATCCTGAAATTTGGTATTTGGATGACAGTGATCCAACACAATGTTCCTTTTAAAACATCATAAGAGTAAGATAGATCAGTTAATCATAAATAGCAAAACATGGGATTTCCAAATATGGACCAGTTTGATCCTCAATAACTTTTTTGAAAACTGGGCGCTGGAGACTTGGAAAGTGAGCCTATTTAAAAAAAAAAAAAAAAAAAAAAAAAAAGTAGAGCGCTCCTTTAAAACTAATATGTAATATATATATATATATATATATATATATATATATATATATATATATATATATATATATATATATATATATATAATATACATATCTACATGGATCGAGTGATTATTTCCACACTTCTAAAGAGAAACATCGCATTATCTGAAGAACAGATTAATTAAAAACTCAATTCACATAGTTTAAAAAACAGAAAGGTCTTTGTTTGGTTTTTGATGAACAAAAGTCCAATGGGTTTGGAATAAAATGAGGATAAGTAAATGATGACA